AAAACAGTCAAATGTGCGCAGTGTTAATAAAAACAGTAATACCTTTTTGTTTAATTTCAGTCTAATGTTTAACCAGAGCTGAGATAGAATTTTCTGAATTGAGAAACATGTTAACAAATATTTCAGAAAAAAATCTTCTTGTAGGAGACTTCAATAGTCACCACTTGGCATGGGGTAGTGACATGACAAACAAAGCTTGAAAAAATTTATACGAAATGATAGAAGACTATTCATTAATAATTCTAAATGACGGTCAACCGACTACTATGAAAACAAATCATTGTAATGCTACAAGTATAGATTTATCGTTTTGTTCGAATAATTTCATCGATACTATCAAATGGGAAATAAGTACAGAAGTATTGGGTTCTGATTATTTTCCAATTATTATAAACATAGATGTGGAATTCCCAACTTACAGAAATATTATCGCTACAAAAAAGTGGAACATCAAGAAAGCACACTGGCAAGGATATGCTGAAGACATAACAAGAATGTTACAATTACCTATTTTTCGAGAAAAGGAGAATTTTAAATACGAACATGTTATCCGAATTATTGAAACAGCAGCAGAAAAGAATATAAAAAAATTCAAGATCACAAAAAGAACGTTATTCAAACCCTCCGTGTGGTGGGATCAAGAATGCGACGTATTCATATCTAGAAGGAAAGAAGCATTCCGCAAACTACGCATGCAGTACAACTATGAAAACTATATCAACTTCCAAAAAATAAACGCTCTGACGAAAAGACTTTTAAAAAATTAAAAAAAAAGCAGAAATGGATTAAATTCATTAGCTCAATGAATAAAAATTCAAATCCTACTTCAATATGGAGCAAGATTAAATTGCTAAATAATAAAAATAATATGATAAATACAGCAAATCTAAAAAACTTCACTCTTGATTTTGCCGAAAATAAACAAATAGAGATAGAAAAAAATTCAGATGAGAACAACGAATTAATTGTTCCCTTTACTTTAAAAGAAATGGAAAAGGCGTTAAAAAAAGAAAAAACTCTGCTCCCGGATTTGACCAAATTAATTATAAAATGATTAAGGAGTCTCCAAACAGTCTGAAGATCAAATTAATAAAAATATTTAATGATATAATAGCAAACAATTGGATCCTTAAAGAATAGAGAAATAACATACTAATACCATGTCTGAAACCAAATCCTACAATACCGAATTTTGAGACCAATTTCATTACTTTTGTGTATTTTTTAAAACTTTTGAAAGAATGCTGAAAGAACGTATAAAATAGTACGTAGAAAATAAACGAATATTTAACGACGCGATGTTTGGATTCAGAGGAGGAATGGGAACTCTGGATTTACTGAGCACACTGACCAATGACATACACATATCGAACTCAATGAATCATTATTTATTATTATTATCAATAGACATTGATAAAGCATATTACAATATAGACCATAATATACTGCATACAAAATTAATTAATATAAATATTCCACAAAAACTAATTAACATAATTCTGTTAACAATATCGCAAAGAAATATATACTTAAGACAAGTTGACGGATTGATAGGATCAAAAGTTGCATGTAAAGGAATAGCACAAGGCTCTATACTTAGTCCTTTATTATTCAATATTTAGACCGCAGATTTTCATAATATTCTTCACACAAGCATTAAAAAATTGCAATACGCAGACAATATTTATATATACATATCAACACCGACTTTAACATCGTGTATAGCAGAAATGAATGATGGAATTAAAGAAATTGAAAAATGGTTAATCCTAAATAATTTAAATATATCTCAGGACAAGTGTGCAGCTACAATATTCACAAGACATCGTTATCCTAGTAGTACAGACAATATAAAAATAAACAATAAAGAAATCACGATATAAAATAAAATTAAAATTTTGGGCATAACATTTGATACAAATGTTATTGATACAAAAAAAATTGATACAAAATGACATTTAATCATCATATCCAGGAACTAAACGCAAAATGCGAAAAAGGGCTAAACATCATTCGTAAGGAGCATGTCTGTTACTATATAAAAATATGATAAGGTCACAGCTAGACTATGAATGCTTCATTTATGGTGCTTTGAGACAAAAAGAAAAATATCAACTAGACAAAATACAATACTCAGCCATTAGGATCTGTCTAGGAGCCATCCGCTCTACCCCAATAAACGTTCTACTGACTGAAGCAGGTGAAACACCGCTAGATATAAGAAGACGTTTATTGGCTAAAAGATTTTTAGTTAAAAAATTGAATAACGCTTGCCATAATTTAGGCAACTAGAAGAATTGGCAAGATTACATATAACTAAACCATATTGGACAAACAGACCTACTCCCCCTTTAATAACGAGCTTTTATGACCTACAACCGTATGAGGAATATGTAAAAATTTGCAAAATCAAGTCTTATTATCAATTTCCATAATATTATTCATATAAAAATTCCTACGCCAAAACAGAGGCCAACTTAGTAGGAGAATCTATTGAAAATAAACAAATAAAAAATTGGGAATTTGAAAATAAAGTAAACTCAAAATGGCCCGATCACCTTCACATATATACAGATGGTTCAAAAATGGAAGATGGAACTGGATGTGCAATATATATACCTAATCACAAATATAAGAAAAAAATTAAATTACTAAAATTTGCCTCCATCTTTATAGCGGAGCTGTGTAGCATCAAAATATGTTAGAGACAAAAATGTAAATAAATCGATCTTTTTCAGTTATAGCAAATCGAGCATAATCGCAATAAACAATCCAAGCAAGCATACAAATATATTGGTATATGAAATTATAAACAATCTCAACGAAAGAAATGTAGGAGAAAAGTCAATGATCTTAGTATGGCTTAAAGGACACGCAAATATAAATGGTAACGTGATAGTAAATGCGTTAGCCAAAGAAGCTTGCCATAGCGGCAAAGATTGTGACAAAATTCCATCCTTAGAATTAAATAACGTAATCAAACAACAGTATATAAGAAAATGGCAAATATTCTTTGCAGAATCAACAAAAACGAAAGGCATCACATACGCATTAACAAAGAATAAGGTATCGCAAAATACATGGTTTGAAAACGTGGAAAAAAGTAGAATTTTCATCTCGGTTATCTGTAGACTGAGATTTGGACACACCTTCTGCAAGAACCACTTGAAAAGAATTAGATTTATAACGGACTCAGCATGCGATTGCGGAAGCGGAGAGAAAACAATAGATCACCTGTTTAGAGAATGCAACTTATTCCAAAACGAAAGAAAAACATTAATAATAAATTTACTTATAGAAAATATTATTTTCCCAATCAATGTACAATCATTAGTAGCTAGTAACAATTTAAAAATGTATAAATACATATTTAATTTTATTAATAATACAAAAATTAATTTATAAGTTAATGATTCAATAAGAATTTGTTGTAAACAATTGTAAGATGGCATCTGGCCTTATTATGTATATCAAAAGCCAATAAATAAAAAAAAAACTTAGTTCATTACTATAAGTCCAAATGGGTACTATTATAGTTTTGCACAGAAGTACATTGTTAGCGAGAGAGATTTCGGATTTTCTCCCAAAAAGCTAGTAAAAACCTTTTATTTTCAGTTGGATTTGTGTCCTTTTATTTTCAATGTGCATTTTCTAGTCAATTTCGAGTATATGTACATGCCTATATTTGACAGTGTTGCATAGTAGAATTATTGATTTGTTTATGGTGATAAGGACTGTTGTGGTGTTTTAGTGAAACAATTATGTGCTGAGATTTTTCGATAATGATTTTGATACTCCATTCTAAAAATCATTTTTTGTGACTAGATAAATAGTTTTGTGACTGACAAGATCATCTGTGGGCATATCGCTTTAAATATGAGATAAAGTACCGGCTTAGCACACTGTGGTACCCCGCATTCTATATTTCTAATGCTCAAAGTCACATTTTGATTCAAAATTTTCTATTAAATTAGAATGTGTTTAAAATATTTGGAAAAGTAGTTTGGAAAAGTTGTTTTTATTTTATATAGAAGTCTAAAGTGCCAATCTCTTGCGGAATTATTAGATTATCATTTCTTGGAATAATATTCGGGGTGAACTGCTTGCTTGTTTCACGTACAATTTCAGAAAAATGTTCTATTTTATTTTTTATATCAATAACGCTTGTAGGCCTTAATTTTGGAAATATTTTTCAATCAATTATGGTTTTACAATTAAAGTCGCCACCAATGATAAATATATTACCTAATTGTGAGAAAATTGAAGAATACTGAGAACAAGAAATTTTGAATCTTGGTAGACAATAAACAGCAAAAACATAAAAATTATATAAATTTATTTCAACAGAAATTTGAGTTGCTTGTAGATAATCATCACAAATATTTGGCAGAGCAAAATGCTTTATATTATTTTTGATTAATATTTCCGAACCGCCGCAAGCCCTGCCACTTGCTTGATTTGAATTATAATTAGTGTAGTTGTAGTTATCAATTTTAAAGTAGGTTTTTTCTGCGAAGTGTGATTCTAAGATTAATAAGATATCTATTAAGTTCAATATTAACAATAACTTACCCTACGGGAAGTTAAAAAACATTTTACTTAATTTTTGTGAGGTTATTATATACCGTTGACAATCCATACAGCAATTTTAATTATTTTTGTGTGACAACCGTGGCTACTATATTTATTATAATGGTGTTCTGTTGCAAGAGCTGATTGAGCATAGTTTTAAATTTCAAAATGAACGTTGCTAGTAGAGTTTCAGATTCGGGATTTGATTGTGAATTATTGAAACAGAAAATTTATTTTTTGCTATGTCTGCATAGAATGAGTCATGAATTGTTGGCTTTAAGGCCGGAGAAATGTTGTTTAAATTTTTAAAATTTTGATTTAATGAATTCGGATTTATGACTGATTGATTTACTGGAGTTTTGTTTTCACACATCCATTTTTTCTTAGGCATGCATGATAACAATATTAATATATTAAGAAATACTAACGTCAGAGTCTTCATGTCTACCAAAACCTCTTAGATATAATTTCCTGTGATTAATGAGTAAAGATGTATTTGTCCATGATATGGTGCGAATTCCAATAGCCTGTTTGTAAACGTCGAAATTTTCTCCATTTTCAGCAGCTAATTTAATCTGAAAATTGAATAAATATATATGATTTTCACAAAAATGTATATAATAAGAATTTTGATTTATTTCATTATACAAATATAATACATAATTCAGAATTTAAAAAAAAGTGCGCGTAAGGTTTACACGCGATTGAAGTAAAGCTTATTTGCTACTGTACAAAATGACATTTAAGTAAAAATAAATACATCAAATAACAATTTTTAATAATGTTTGTTAGTAATATGGTAACACTCGTGATGCACACATTTATTAGTGTTATACACATTATACACATTTATATAATGATACATTATACATTATATATTTATAATAGCATTAAAAATATGTATAATATTTAAACACAATAATGTAATTAAAGTGATGCTTCAAATATGACATGATTGGTTTGTCATTGTATTTAGCATTTAGAAATGAACCTTTATTAGAGAAATTAAGTAATTGCTGATTAATAAATTCTATAATATTCGTTCACACATTGGATTATGTTAAACAACGCCTAAACAATCGTTTCGCAACTTCACTCAACATGTAATTGTGTCTGAAGAACTTCATGCATATAAAATTAACATACATTCATTGACTGTTTGTATTTTTTTTACTTTTTCGCTGGCGATATAATCTCATCTTTGAAAATCTGTAATAATCGAGAGCGAATGACAAATTATTGGCACTCCATTGCCGTAACGCACTTCCGTTGCATTTGTACCGATTTACAACCTAGTCGTGCCTAAATGAAATTTTACTTAAAAAAACAAAATTTAAGTGTATGGGCTATTCTTTTACCGACCGTAACATTTCAGAACTGTTTGAATTTTAGATATCATAAATAAAATCATTTGACATGTAATTCAAGATTTTGCTAAAAAACATTTTTTGAAGTAAAACTTTTTTAGGCGCGACTTGGGTGTAAATTCTTACCAATGCAACGGAAATGCGTTGCGGCTGACTGTGCGTCATTCGGTTTCGATGAAATAGTTTCTATATACGGGTCGATTGTAATTAGTCGTTGTGTATGTGATTAGAGATCTGTCGTTGTATGCGTACCGGCGTTAACGTTGTATGCGTAACGGCAGCAACGTTGTATGCGTACCGTAATCGTCAAGGAAATCGGCATAGATAAATAAACATTTTTTAGTTACATCGTACTACAAATCTTTATTTAATGAAAAATGCCTGAATCAGAACAGGGTAAAATAACCATGTTCCTTGAAAATATTGATTAATAAGATTCATGATTAGTAAGTTTATTGATAGGAAATTATTTATATGGTATTCGTAATTTCTATAAATAATATATTAGTTATTAAATTAAATTTCTATAAAAATAAGTTCTTAAGTTATTAAAATGGAAAATATATTTTAGACAAGACAGATATTACAGCTGTTCAAAGAATGAGATTATATCGCCAGCGAAAGAGTAAAAAAAATACCAGCTGTCAATAAATGTATATTAATTTAAAAGTAAAAAAATACCAGCTGTCAATAAATGTATATTAATTTTAATTTCATGAAGTTTTTTAAACACAATTACATGATGAGTAAACAATTATTATAGCATTGATTAATCACCAATCACTTCATTTCTCTAATTATGGTTCTTTCTAAATGCTAATTACAATGGAAAACCGATCACGTCATATTTGAAGTATGACTTTAATTACATTATTAACTTCCCGCAGGGTAAGTTATATTAATCGCAAAAAATCGAAAATGTAATTTTTTTATATCTTTACGTTGCAGGGGTTTCTGAACATTTTGGAATACCTTATAAAAAATAGACGTATGTCTGTTCGTCGACGATTTCGGGAACACGGTTCAACCGATTTCAATCATTCAAAAAAGATTTTGCTGTTGATATATTGCTGTTGATAAGAAAACGTGCTGATTAGTTTTTGGCATAAGCAGATCTAGCCATTTCGAGGATACGGGGCAAAAAGTGCCACAAACGGTAACTCAGTTTTTAGGAGAACGGAGTGTCCGATGTTAATAATTCAAAAAACGTTTTACTTGTATTAACAAGAGAAACAACTGATCTGAATAAAAATTTAAAAAGTCTTTTTTCCAAATTTTTTTTTCATAAATTTTTAGTTTCTTAAAAATCTATTTTTTTTCAAAGTAATTTTTTTTCAAAAATGTTAATCTTTTTAAAAAATAATAATTTTTGGTACGGAAAGTTCCAGCAATTTGCCTTAAGCCAGGATGCCATACGCCCCACTAGTTGTTTATAAATATTATACATATTTTTAATGCTTTATAAATATATAATTTATAATTTATTATTATATAAATGTGTATAATGGGTGACACTAGTAAGTGTGTACATAAAAAGTGTTACCATATTACTAATAAACATTATTCAAATTCGTTATATGATGTATTTATTTTTACTTAAATTCCATCTTGTACAGTAGCAAATAAGTTTTACTTCAATCGCGTATCAACCTTACGCGCGCTCTTTTTTTACGTGAATATTTATGATTGAATGATTTGCTCAATTTTTATGAACATACTCTGCGTAAAATTCATTGTCTCTAGTTGTGCAATAAGATCAATAGGTATTATTTAATTTTTATTTTAATCACGATGAAGTCAGTTTTTTGATAAATCATAATTGGGTAGTAGCATTTGTAGTCATTTCCAACAGAAATGAAAAAGTCAAGTAAGTCCAGAATCCTGGCCGGGTCTGAGGCCAATATGTTGGTGCCTGTGTAATGCAAAGCGTGGTTATTTTGTTGTATAATAACATTCAGCTATTTTCCTTTAGGACTAACAAGGCATGAAACCCAGTTTGGATGCTTACTGTTGAAATAACATCTTGCTAAAAACCTAGTTCCTAGCGTTTCAAAAATTTCTCGTCTTTCTGTTCCCTCTGTGTGTTATGCCTGGAGAAACAATAGACAGTTGTAAAAGTGAGGTCAAAAAAGAAGTTTCACTTTGATTGATGTAGGTTGAATACAATTGTATTGAAATTTCCCCTAAAATCATATTTGTGTGATAGATGATTCTCTGTCAGTTTCAATGATGCTTCCTCCATTGTTAGAAATATTTTTTCCGGAGTTCCGCAAAGTAGTGTTTTTGGTCTGCTACATTAAATATACTGACGATATACCTACAAATGAAGAAACCATGATTGCAACTTTTGCAATTGGTACGGGAATTCTGACGAAAATTAAGACTCTACAATTATATGTAAAATTAATGTTTATTTACAAATAATATGTACAAAGTTTTCTTCGGTATTCTTTTGTTAGATTTACTTGTTTTGCCCAGGTGTTGACTACTCGACCCGTAGAGGAGAAAAGAGATCGAGTAAGGTAGCTGCTTCCTTAATATACCTGTTAGTCTGACCCCCTCCACACGTTAAGGTCCCTAATAGTGTGGAGTTTAGTGTAGCTCTTTACTACTATTTTTCAATAGTAGAAGAGCTGACGTATTCTAGAAAATTATTGTTCACTTGTTTAGGTAGAGAAAAAGTTACATCTATCCATAATTATTAGATACAAATATAATCAGTGGATCTCAAGATGTGCTAATTCAAATAAAACATTTTACAAGAAGCTCCTAGCATCCTTATCTATAATCATAATTTTCGCAAATTATATTATGATTTGCCAATACTGGGATATATTAGGTAACCATAATAAATAAAAACTAATAAACAATAATAATGCAAAAATTAGCTTACTCATCAATTCAAAAACGTTAACAAAAAATTGATATCCCATTATATTTTCTTTTACGAAAATGCAGCCGCGTTCATATATTTTCACTGCTAAGTCAAAAATGATTAATTGAGCAAGAAACTAGAAGTTATTGGAAAATTTTCATTGAGCCTATAGATAAAAAAGTAATATTTATCGAATATTTTGATTTGGTATAAAATTGTTATTATCGGGGAGAAGATAATAAGTGAATGAAATTAAATGGCAATGAGCAAGTTGAATTTTTATGATGATTTACCTTTAATGTGTACATATATCCGGGATGCTCATCCATTAAATAAGGCCACCATAACTTGGCCTGTGGAATATGTAGGGTACCCGAAAAGTCAGCATCAGCCATATTATTAAGTATGAAAGTCCCAGACTGATCATACACTTCAACTATACATATCACATCAGTTTCATTATCTTCCAATCCTGAATACTGTATTTTGTAATTTATTATACCTAAAAGTAGAAATAAATGTTTGAAGCTCAAACACGCACTCATACATTGGCCGTATTATGATACAAGCATATGTATATATTAAGATGTATGTAAATTAAAATACTGCAGTGCAGTGTATACATATTTACATCTAAAATATTCATATATTTTTACATCTCAATATTCCAATCTTAACACAGTATTCTTCATAAATGTATATATCTTATATATATACGCACTGTGCGAATCAAAACTATTTTATTTAGATAGTATTTCCAAATTTCTCACAAGACAATAAAAATGTCGCGCAAAGAATTCGTATTTAGTTACACGCAAGTGTAGAATCTTGGTAAAAATGTTTAAATACCAGTTGGTATTGGTATTTTGCCTTGAGGAAAGTTACATGAACTTCCCGATATGTTAAATAATCGACTTAATCAATAAAATATGAATTAGTTTATAAGTAATTGAAAGTATTCCGAGTGGATTTATTACACATTATTGGAAACGAACAACCACGTTAACTCGAAGTATTTTCTAAAAGCAAATTTTCAAAAATCAAAAATCAACCATTTTTGTAATTGAACCAGTTTCCGTAGGACTTTAATGGTTTAGTATGTTCATTAAGATCAAGTACTCTAACGTTATACCAAGTAAATTGTCTAATTTTAATTTTAACAAACATCAAAAAGACTACTCATTTTCTCAAACTTTGATGAATTTTTAAAATTAAACTACTTAGTAGTACGTAATATTTCAGTAAGTTCTATAAGACGTAAGAACGTAAGACCGTAATATTTCTGTAAGTTCTATAAGATCATGATATATATCTCAAAAAAATCCATGAAAATCGGCTTAAATTTTTCTTTCAACAGTTAATTACAAGAAAACGGCTCGGTAGATTTTCACCTAAAACTAATCTGTATCATTCCCAACAAATATCTTTCCAACAGTTTTTGATCAGATCACCGCACGAAACTGACATCGATAGTCCTCATTGAGTACATCAAATGGCTTTTAAATTTTTGAAATCGGTTCAGGCGTTTTTGAGAAAACGTCAATGAAATGTCTAATTTTGACAAATGTCTGAAAAACGATATTAATTTTTGCAAACTATGAAGAATTTTAAAAATTAAATGACTTGCCGTAGGACTATAAGACTATGGTATCTACAGTCAAAAAAAAAATTATAAAAATCGTCGAAATTTTTTTTTAACATTTTATTACAAGAAAACGGCCCGGCCGATCTTTAGCAATAACTAATCAGCACGATTCCCAACCAATATCTTTTGAACAGTTTTTGAATTTTAAAAATCGATTGAGAATTGCGGGCTAAAACGTGGACGAAAAATTTTTCACTTTTCTGCGATTTACAAAGAATCGGTTTGGCTGATTGTCGCGAAATTTGATAAACTCTAGTCTTCAATGAGATACATAGAATGGCTTTTAAATTTTTGAAATCGGTGCAGCCGTTTTTGAGAAAACGTCGATATACGACAAATAATCTGTTCACATACACATACACAAACACATACATACTTTTTCCAAATGTGGTCTCATTCGATTCAGAATGGCTTGAAACGTCGAGAAAACATAAAATTAGCGAATCGGATTTTTTTAATGAAAACATAAACTTCTCTTTCGGGAAGTTAAAAATTTTCCATTATGTCTTCAACCAGTTTATAAACAACACATATATTACACACTATCTAATTCAGATTTTTTAAGTTAGTATTTTGTGAAATTTTGTTTAATTATAAGAATAATGTATACATTACATAGTAGTGCATTACCACATACTGACAACTGACTACTGAATGTTCTATTTTAATATTAAGATTAACTAATTGTAAGTACTTTTTACTCTTTATAATTTTTTAGTTTCCACTGAATATTGGCTAGAATTATAGCAAAAACTTATGGATGTAAAATAATTTTTTTAAAGAAATTCATGTTTTCCGGAAGGAGAAGTTCATGTTTTCATAAAAAAATTGGATTCAAAATTTTTATGTTTTCTCGGTGTTCGAAGCCATTCTGAATCGAATGAGACCAAATTTGGAAAAAGTATGGGTGTGTGCGTGTGAACATATTTTTTACCGTAAATCGGGGCATTCTCAAAAACGGCTGGGCCGATTTCAAAAATTTAAAAGCCATTCGATGTATCTCAATGAGGACTATCGTTTGTGAGTTTTGCGCTGCGATCGGCCTAACCGTTTCTTTATAAATCGCAGAAAAAAAAAAGTCTACGTTTTAGCCCGCAGTTCTTAATCGATTCTAAAAATTCAAAAACCGTTCGAAAGATATTGGTTGGGAATCGACCTGATTAGATTTTGGTAAAGATCGGCCGGACTATTTTCTTGTATTTGGCCAGTCTTAGTCTTGAAAAATTCGTGACAATCCAGAGATCGTCGGAAAGGTGAGATATTATTTCAAAATCGCGTAGAAACTTCACATTTTTAATTTAAAAATGTATGTAGAAGCGTAATTTAAATAAAACAATGCACGGTGGTTAATACGTGAAATGTCAAACGTTTTTGACAGATGATGTTCGTTCGTTACGTTCAATAGGATGTTTTACGTGAATATTATTTAATTATGATTAAATTGTAGTAAGTAGCTATGTTTGTAATTATATAAGAAAACGTTAGTAAACGGGCCGCAAGTGTTACTAGAGACTCAAAATATCATCTTTTTTGAAATGTTAATATGAAAATGCACTTTTTGGCATATTTTTCTCAAACACGGTACTCTGAAAGATCTCATTTGTATAATTATATACTCATTGGTATTTATAAAACATTTTCTAGGTTATATTATTTTTTATTTATGTTATTTAAATTCAGTACCTAAATTTGGTATAGATCAAATGGACATTTTGTCGAATAACATTTTCCCAGTTATAATTTCACAGAATTTATCGAAAAATATATGAAGGTCTGGGGTTAAAAATGTCCACCACCAAAGATTTTTGAAATGGGGGAGATAAACGGTAATTTTAGAAAATCCATAATAAAAGTATTTTCTTCCGTTGGTAGTTTTTAGCATTAGTTAAAAATGTAAATATTTTGTAAAATACCTTTAAAATTATAATACGGCTTTAAACCTTTTTGCCACCTGCCCGTTTCAAGTTACCCCGCCTATAGGGTAAAAAGGACTAAATAACAAATTTTTGAAAGACATCAAAAAAGCACATTTCTACAAAGATAAAGTAAAAGGAATTTACTGAACGTAGTCAGATAATTGTTAGTTTGATATGTGTCATTTGTTGTGATATAATTGTTATGGTTTTTACAATATAGTTTATATTTGCTCAAAGTCAAGCTGGACCTTTGTGTCTCGCCCTGCTCTACATATATACTTTTTAATAAATTTACTTTAATTCATCGAATGGTAATACTTGAAACTTTCAAAAAGCAGATCAAAGAAAAAATACTTAAATCATTTTCTATCTCTCCTCGCAAAAATTTGAAAATTTTGTATAAGCTCAGTAGTATTATCTACAATTATACACAAAATCCAGAATCCAAAAAGAATCTGAAAAACTTGAAACGTAATCAATAAGTCGAAAGACCAAAAAAGAATTGGATGGATTATACTATGTTTTCTATAGAAAGTGTATAAATCTTTCAGTTTAATTCAATTGACAAAATATAGACAAACTAATGGCGTTTAATGTTTTTATAATACTTCATTGTATATAGCATTCAAACAACACATCCTTATATACAAGTATTAATATTTGTGATTCTCTAGAAATTGTTTAGAATATACCTTACCTAGCAAAACAACGTTTGCCGGGTCAGCTAGTATATATATATATATATATATATATATATATATATATATATATATATATATATGGAGGCGTGTCCATATTAAATACCAAAATGATCCAAATTGTAGACATAATAAATTCCACGAAATATTATTTATATTTGGTTTATTTTAAGTAAGATTAATATCGACGACACTATGTGTTATCATATTGATCGTTAATAAAATGTGATTGGTATTTTTGTATTTAAAATTGAAAAGAAAGGTTTCAAGACTTATAATTTTTGGCAAATTTTGACTAGGGAGAAACAAAAGCCAGATCAGATCTGACACTTGAATTAATTTTGTTTCCTCCGTGCTGTCACTATATGAGCCTATCTGTCCAGTAGAAATGTGATGCGTGTTGACGAGCCGATACAGCAAATGCGGTGCGTGTTGACAGCCCGCTACATCACTCCGCCCCAATGAAAAAGATTGTTTCGCATCTGACTGCCATCTTGAACTTTCTTTTAAATTTTTTGGTTGAGATTGTGTGATTAATTTTATTTGTTTGTGACAGTGGCCGTTTTGACTGCCGTATTAGCTTGGTGAGTTGGTTGATTGCTTACGTGGCCCTTCGCTGGCGAGTTAGCGGTTGAGTGTATGTGGCCCTTCGCTGGTGAGTTAGCGGTTGAGTGTATGTGGCTCTTCGCTAGTGAGTTAGCGGTTGGGTGTATGTGGCCCTTCGCTAGTGAGTTAGCGGTTGAGTGTATGTGGCGGTTGCCAAATTGTTTGCTGATGCTCCCTGTCTGCTGCCATGGTGCTTATCGACATTATTTACCAGGATAATAAGTGATTTATTGAGCACGTGTTGTTGTTGATCTCGAAGTGCGTGGTCGGAGTCTCAATTGTATGCTTAGAATGCTCTTCGAGTTATGGCAGTTGTGAGCTATTTATAATAATTATTTATATTTTTAAAAATTCTTTTCTTAATATTTCATGAGACTTTAATTTTTTTTTGTTTGTTACTTCAGTATATGTCTTGATCTTCTTACCTTCTTTAATGTGTGTTACTAGTTCACTCTCGGAGGTCACCAAAATATGGAAGCGTGGTCCATATTAAATACCAGAATTGTAGACATAATAAATTTCATGAAATATTATGTTTTATACTTGGTTTATTTTATGTATGATTAGTATTGACAACACTATGTGTAATCATATTGATCATATATAAAATATAGTTGATATTTACTTATTCACAATT